TTGTGGCAGCCTCTTCCCACCCATGAGGAGCTTTTATTGGCAAGCAGGGCACCAATTTGAAGCACACTGGCAACTTTCTGAGTGCAGCTGAGAGTGTACTGGAGTAGACTCTCCTCATTGCTAGGGAAAGGATTCACATTAGTATCGACTTTAAGAAGAGGAAAAAGTCCTCTCAAAGCCAAATTCCACAAAGGACTGGTGGCCTCTTCAAATAGATAAGAACTGTACTCAGGGAAATGGCATAAAAAGCCTGTGACCTGCTGAAGTGTGATTTGTTGAGACATCTGTGATGACTAGCAAGCTCAAATTAGTTCCTAAGCCATACTCATTAGCTTTCACTGAGCTCATGGGATAAAAACAAGTTGCATTTCAGTACAATCAAATGCATTTGGTGGGAGGGATCGCATGAGTATGGCCATTAACCATCCAGACTAGAGGAACTGTTTTACTTCCTCAGGAAGTACAGCACAATGTATATATGATGGACTTGCAAAAAACTGAGCTATATTCAATATCACCTTAAGTGTGATAAGCTCAAGCACATCAACATGCTTAACAGCAAGTTCAATTTATAGCAAGTCCAATTTACAGCCTGTACTTACACATTGCTTTTTTTTGTAGAAGCTTGGGTTTAGCATCAGAGGGACAAGCTGTGCATGAGAGAGAGGACTCCTGTAGTCCCAGAGAGGCCACAGCCAGGAATATTATCTTCCTCCAGGATCCCATATGTGATTAGGAGAACAATGCTCATTACTTTCTTCTTAACAGTTCTCCATTTTTCTGAAATCTCAGCACAGCTACATCTCAGCACGAAAGGATTTCAAAAATTGCTCAACAAAACTCATTTAGTTTAATTAAACTTATCTACATTTTAGAGACAAAGCACATCTCAGACAATGTGCAAAACTTACAGATAGCATTGACCCAAGAGATTCCACTCCTGGGTAAAGCTGCTAGCTGATAGCCCAGTGTAATTTAAGCAATCATTTTTACATGACTGAATCTGATGAATAGTTTTCTTTGTGAAAAATGGCTTCTGGCCAGACATGGACAAAAATAGACAATGAACAAGGCATTCTTGGAACAGATCAACTTCTCTATCTGATTTAATCGTAGCAATACCTCCTAACAGACCTGAAAAGAATGTTCTTCTGCATTAGGCTTTCTAATTCCTTGATGGTTTTGACTGACTGATTTGCCTTTGAAGTTGAAGGAGCATTTCACTATAAAAGTGTGCACTACTTTATAAGGAAATATCCACATGGTATAAACTAATGCCTTGATAGCATTTTTTATGACTTACAAAAATGATGGCAATGCATTTTTCTGGCATCTACTTCCACCTTTAAAGACAAAATTTGCAGATCCTTCTGAGAATAAACCATCAATTTGGAAGGATAAGACTAAATTCAGAGGAGCTACAAATACCAGAGAAGAGAGCAGGATAACAAACAAATCTAATGAAATGTGGTCCAAAAGTTAAGGTAATAGTCTTTTCTCACTAGGACTGTTTATTGCAAACTGTGTGTCTCCTTGGAGTTACCTTAACTGTGTTCTGGACCTTGTAGCTTGAAGCAGGCTGGGTGCAAGGTTTGGCTCCACTCTGCACAGGGTCTCTATCAAATAAGCAACAGAAGTGGCTGCTGCACAAGTGTTGCTGTCCTTCAGCTGCCTGTCACAAGCCTTCTGCCCAATTCCCAAAATGAGCAGTGTAAGGAGTCATCTCTTCCAGGACAGAACCAACCAGCTTATTTTAGACCTCAGGTTATTTGCCACAGGAAGGTTACAGTGACCTGCAGCATAAAAGCAGTAGCACCCTGAGCCACAGTGGCCATTTCTGCAGCAGCTGCAGCCTACCAACAGCTCAGCATCCCTGCTCCAAGGCCATACTCCATCTCTCACAGGATATAAGCATCAATCAGGTCAGCACGATAAAGAAAAATACCCATTAGCAGCCTTTACTAAGAGACATTTTCTTCTTGTATTTAGTATCAGTTGAGTCATATATATCCAGGATTACAGGAACCCACAGGGTCACTTCAGTATCTTCAGATCTTGTACTATGTTTTATAGCCTGAAATGAATGTTCCCTACCACAGCTCTCTGGTTTTTAATGTGTTGCTTCAGGCATTTCTCTCTCTTTATGAGTATGGCCAGACGGCAGGACACACCAATCAATGCTCCAGCTGAACTCAGTCAGTGGCAGGAGGAATTATTTTTTATTTCTATTCATATAATATTTAAAGAAAAATACCCATGTAAAATGTTTAATATTAATTTGCAATCCCTTATGATACAGCCTAAATTTCTTATACTCTTCACACAATTTAATGTGCAGCATCAATAAGGTTAAGGTCTTTACAAAGTGAACACTGAACAGAAACTTCTATGATGCTGAGGTTAACACTGCCTCTGCTATGATACACTTTATGTGCCTCATGAAAATACTGCAAGCTGGGGGTCTTCAGTACCTAGCACATCTAGGGTCAGTCTATTTAACCCATTTAAAAAACCTAAACTCTTCAATGCTCTCCTGACTTTTACCTGACTTCCAGTTTTCATCCAAAGAGGCTTCAAACAAATTGCAATAAATTATCTGGCAAACAAAAGTCTTCATTATTTTGTACACAACAAAGAGAAAAATTGATTCTGAATAAAAGCTGACCAAACTATGCCATTACATAAATGCCTAATGTCTATCTTGAGAATTAGCTACATGTAATAGATCTTAATACTATACCCAGCTATAAATCAACACACTAGAGCCATTCTAGCAGCAGAAGGAAATCAACCACTATTCATATAATACAAAAATGCAAACTGATCTGAAAATGCATTAATTAAAACAAGACTTCCTGCTTGGCAGTTTAAGAATGTCTCCTGGCCAATGGCCTTGGAAAATACTCAGCACCTTACTCAGACTCTTCCATCCCTTCTGAAGAAGTCTCCAAAGGGGATTTTCCATAGACTGCAATTACAGGGGTGAAGAAACCTGAAACCCACCCCAGCAGACAGTGCAACACCTGAAGGTTACAATTCTGCACAGCATCAGCTCAGATGCCAAGTGGGAGGCTGCTCTTGGTAATCCACAAGTGATTTAGGAGTGTAGATCAACTACATAAAGTTATCAAGGAAGCCTTTGGCTATGATTTCCCCACTTCCACTTCTCCTGTGTAAGCTGGGACTATAATGCTCATGAAGTACAACCTTGCAAAAGCCTGGGATTTATTCTGATGCTACAGTGGCATGCCTGGGACCAGGAGAAAAGGAGATAGATGGTGGGTGGCATGCCCAGCCAGCCCTGCTCCACCTGGCCATTAGCCCTGGACACACAAGCCAGGTTTTTTGGCATCAGATGGAAAGGTCCCCAGGTGTGAATTGAAACAAGCTCCCTGGAAAATGTCCTTCAGCCTAGTCAGTCCTGAGACTGGCATTTGTTTTGTCTATTTGTGCTTCTTTTCTTAGACCAGAAAAACACTGCTAAAAGCAGGGCTGGTGAGGGGCCCCTTAAAGCAGATCTATAGCTCACAGGAATGATAACCCAGAACCACAGCTGCTTTCCAAAAATGCTGAATGTTGGATTTTTTTGTCTTACCATTTCTAGCATATGCAGCAGTTACCTGTTCTTACATACACTCATGGCATGGAGCATCTGCCTTAAGCCCCTTTCTTCTTCTTTTTCACATGGCTTCATTCTTTATATGCACACCATACCCTCAAGGATGGGCACATTTGAAGTAGATGGGCAAATTCATAAGGATTCAAGAAACACTGGCTCTGTATCAAACAACACAAATACATTAGAAACTTCATTATACAGAAATACAAAAGTAAAAGCACTTGAAAAATTATTTTTATGCAGACAATTAAAAAATCATCACAAGATAAGAAGTGCACCACAATACTTCCAACATATATAATTTAAATTTCAGTCTTACTGTTTAGTAGGTAGGAACATCTCTCCCACTTCAGCATACAAATAAGAATATTCTAGTCAGAAACAGTAAGTATTTTGGTTTTTTACTTGCTTGCCTCAACAACAACTCATGCTCCTTAGAGCAAAGCTTTGATTTGAGAGACATCCATCAGGTGATGTGCAAGACAACTGACCACCACCAAGTACACTATGGGTCTCTGAATATCTCCAGGAAGAACACACCACTGTATGTATTGTTGTCTCTACCTAAATCATCTTTGAGCAGATTTCTGCTGGTGGAGCTCTCTGCACTGCAGTTTTCTGTCTTCCTCCACAGCTACAGGAGCAGGAGCTCTGCTAACCCAACACAAACAGATATTCTGCTGAGGCCGCTCATTACATTCAGTGCAGCCATTCATAGGATGGCACACAGGACACGTGCACCAGTCACAGCAGCACCACAGCAGATCCTTCTTCATTAACAGATTCATCAGTGATGCTGGTCCCAGATCACAGCATTTTCCAGGCCCGCTGTGGCACTGTAGACTAAACAAACACTGCGCATCAGCTGCCAAGCAGGTCCCATCTTTCATGTTTAGCTGTTTGTGAAACTCAGTCATTTCTTCTCATTCCACATTGTCAGGAAGGAGCAGATGGCAGATGTGCTCTGCCTATAATATTGTTTTTATGATACCCTGCCTGCTGGCAGAAGAGTGGAAGAAACATTTGGAGGCAAGAATTTGCAGTATATTTTCAGTTTTGGTAACGAGCTAAAAGATAACAGAGTATAGGGAGAGGAAGAAGGGGCTGTACTGAATAGGTGATGATAGATTCCTATGATCAAGAAAGTGATATTGACAAAAAAGGAGTATTTAATATGTTCATATGGACATATGGAAAGACAAAACAGATACTACTATGAGACAATGTGTTCTCACTCATATGGGATTCAAAGAAAAGACTCAGTTTTAGCTTCTAAATATTGTTTTCTGAATTGCCTAACATCAGTGACAGAATCATAACAGAAGTGATACCTGAAGGATAAATATAAGCTTTCATAACAAAGCTGAAAGAGACAGTTAAGTTTACATCAAGGCTCTAGAAATTTTTATTAAAATATTTTTTAAATGTGTGTCTTATACACAAAAGAAAGTACATACTTTATTTTTAAGTAATATGATCTAAGCTGCCAACAGCATTTCTTCCTTAAAAATTTTAGTACACATATATCTTCCAAAATAACAAACCTGGCATGATCAAGAAAGGAACATCCAGTTTTCATTTAAAGCAAGATGAAAATAAAAGAAGGTAATTGCTTCAAAACTTGGAGATTTAAAATTATGAAGAGGCTACTGCAAAATGACACCTGGGGATTCAGGTTGAAAAGTTCATTTAGAAAGCCTTATAAATCAAACTAAATATTGTCTATGACCTGTGAGCCACTCTAAGACAATCCCATTGCACGTGGAACTCATTTATCTACATTCACAGGGATCCAGCTGCCCAGATGCCAAATCCATTTTGTGTAAACTACTGACAAAATTGTAGAAATGTCCCAGAGAAGAAAACCTGCAGAAGAAATAATTAGTTTTGACTGTTGAGTAGATGCAGTACAAGCTCTTCATCCTCTGCCAGAGAAAGCCCAGTATCTAATGGCAAACAGGGGTCCTCCTCTTGGCTGAAATGCATCTTTTTTCTTTTCAGTGGCATTTCTTCTGCTGTGGCACTGTTGCTATAGCTTCTCTTCTTTCTTCCAGTCTTCTCCTCAAGTTCACTGCAGAAAAAAATCAATTATTCTTTTTAACAACTGTGGTAATCAATATCATCATGTAATCTAACAATTCCTTTTAAACAGGGCAAATTTGTGTCAAGATAAGAGCAAACAAAATTACAATTCAAAAGGGTGAAGCAATGGAAGCTGATGAACTCTGAATGTCTAAACTAGAGCTGCTCTCAGACAGAGGTGGTGGTGGATGTTCTGCTGTCTTAATTGATTACAGTGTATCAGGATATTGCCATAAGTCTTATCTAATATTTTCTGCCTAATACAGCAACAGACAACTTGACAAAACTGATTTTGTGACGTGTCAGTGGACCTTGACATGCATTCAAGATATTGCCTACAATAAATATGCACCAAAAATAAAAATATAAAAACTGTTCTTTCACTGGCAAATCCTACACTTAATGCAGTTTTGATCTGGGACTATTTAATTCAATCACTCTTTCCTCTTCTGTCAGACATTTCCCTTGAAAGCTACTAAACACCTCTCTGCCATGAGAGGAAGAGGAAAACCCAGTAATTTTCCCAGGTGAATTCCTATTTCTTCTGCTGTTTTTTAAAGACTTGAATGAACTGCCTTTTGCAGCCTTCAATCTGGATGAAACAGCTGCCAATCTGTTTTATCACCCTGGCTTCTACCACACGGCCATGTGACAACAATGGGAGGAAAGACAGAGCTTTCACGTATCTTCATGTGGTTTTTGTCCAAAACATTCTAAAAATGCTATAAATCTTCTTATCTAAGTTTAAAACAATCAAATAAAATCTATTCTAAGATATATCTGTGAACCAGATTATGGAGAGCTGGTTGTTGTATGCTGTAGGGTAGAATTCATACCCCAAAACTAGTAAAGTGCAAACCTCCACACCCCAAATCATTGCATCCAAACAAACTGGAACAAAACAGCATTCTCAGCTTTTTGTGTTTGTATTTTTAAAAATATAACAAAAATTGAAATGGAACTTCAGAAACGGAGTTACGGCTTTTCTAAAAAAGCTGGTTAAATTCAGATTTCCAATTAAAATTTATCAAATTTCTACTCAGAAAATTCAGCTTACTTAAAAAAAAACATTTCAACAAGAATTTTTTCTTGTCCATAGTTTTTACAATGGCGTAAATGTAATGCTTGTGAGCGGTTCCATTCAGAAATGCTGTTTAGACATTTAACAATTAGAAACAGCAGTTACAATAAATAGCTCTAATTGGGGAATACTGTCCTTAGAATCAATGCAGCAAAGGAATGCAAAGCCCAGTTCAACCCACCTTCAGCTGCCCACCTTATTTTTTCCCATTAATGGGGCTAGTTAACAGTCTGTGAAATGCTGGTTTCACCACTCACTAGAAACCAGCCTAACTCAAACATTAACCCCAACCATGGCAGTTTTCAGCAAGTTCCCAAATGCTCTCTGAGAGGGATCAGCAGCACTATGCAGCTTGTATACACTGCTTTCTGGCTGCCCCTCCATAGGGATGAAGGAATTGTTACAGGCCTTTGGCTGGTGGGCTGCACAGGTATGACCTGCCTCCCTCTCTCATCCATCCCACCTTTCATAGAGGAACTGTGCCACCTCCTGCCTACTCAGAGCCCAGAGGAAGGAGGGAAATCCTATAAGGAACACCCTGCATTTCCACAATTAAGGCAAATGAAATACCCTACCTTTATATTGTTCTTCTTTGCCTACCCAAGAGAAAAGAAGAAAAGAGCGTAAAGAAACATGGTCTAGTGAAAGGCGTCCTTGCCCACGGCAGGGACTGCTGGACCTGGATGATCCAGAAGGTTCCTTCCAACAGAAAACATTCAGTGATGATTCATGAATAGATGATGTCTGCTCCACATACTCACTCTTCCTGTAATTCACAGGATATAGCAACTTTGCTGGCTTTGAGCTGTCATTTGCATGGGGGTGGCTTCTCAGGGCTTGCTACCAACATTTTATTTCTTTTCTGAGGAAAGGAATATTTCTCTCATATTTCTCTCTGTAGTGCATAAGATATTCCATAAATGCTGAAGCTATATGAAAAACTGACAGGATATGAAAATATACTGAAGCAGAAAGAATTCTCACTTTTCCAAGTGGACAGTGTGGGTCTGGGCTGGAGTTTCATGGCGTTCACTTTGATCAGGACAGACTGTAGGGGTTCACTTCAAAAGCTCAAGAAAGGCCTCATTAAGTAAAAGCATTTTAGCTTGTTTGCAAAAGAGCCAATTATTTCCAGTCTTTGAACGGACTCTGAAGCCCAGTTTGCATTCATAAATGACTAATGCTTCATCTAGGACATTAGTTAAAAACATCTTAGCAATTAAAACCCTCCAGAAACCTCACAAGCTATGCATTTGTACCTACAAGCTATGAAACAGCAGACTTTAAACACCAAAAATTATAATCACTTCTGGAGTTTCAGAGACCTTAGGCATAGATATCTATAAGGTAAAACATTTAAATATAAAACACGTTCCAAAGGAACTGAACTGTGAGATTCCTCAGCTTTTTCCACAAACAAAAGCACATCAACACAATTATGAATAATTTTCATCATAAGTTTTGTGGGATGATTCTGCTGAGTCCAGCTGCTCCTTACTGTTACTGAGGGATTGTGCAGCTTGATTAGCAGTGTAAACAGAAGATGCATCTACACACAGGCAAGTGTATTTTCAAACTAATTTGACCCCAGCTGGGTTGTGGACTGGAGATGTGAATAAAGAGGAATGTATAACACAGGAAGCAGCAAAAGCAACAAGCAATGAAGAGAGCAAAATAGTTGTGTTTTCACGATGCACAAAATGTAGATGCAAACCAGTATTTGTTAACAACAGCTTCGGCCGGTAAACAGAGAATCATGTGAAACATGTGAATAAGATGTTCCTAATTCTGAGATGCAGAAGAAAGACAGACTGACTGTCCACAAAATGATTTGGGTCGAAAGGGACCTTTGAAGAACAGTAAGTCCAACCCCCCTCCTTGCTCCTCCAGGATGGATTTTTACCAGCACTGGTTTGGGTGGTGTGAAAAGGGGCTCTGAAGTCAGAGTTGCAGCTTTTACAAGAGGTGATAGTGGCAATTTTAAAAGGGAGATGAAAAATGTGTGGCATCATGATGCTCAGAGATATCCTGTGCTCATTCAGGGTGCTTTTCCCTAGCTGTATGGACAGAAAGCTCTTTGGAGGAGCTGTAACAGGCATAACTCTCAGCTCCACATGTGAAAGGACTCAGTGTGCAAAAGCAGCTATAAGGGAATAACTTCTGCACTTACTGTCAAATGAATTCCTCCTCAGTGTCCATTAACTGAAGGCCTGTCACTCTGTAGAGCCAGTCCTTTTATCGTTTCCATGGACATAAATGGCCCCTCATTCCTCACAAACACACAAACTGATGTACTACCAGCTAATGTTCACAAATTGCCAACAAAAGTTATGCTAAGGTAAATTATTTTCTAGCAGAACAACTCAGTTAGAAAGCAATCCCCAATTCAGATCCAAACCAAGGCCAGTGGATCCTTTTGTCTTCTACTAATAACATCTCAAAAGTGGCACGTGCATCTGGCTTACAATTTCTTCCTTTTACTAACTGGTGAAATTAAGCTTTTCAGCTGCCTGAACAAACCATGCAGTCTGAGGCTGCCTGATGAAAGGATTTACTTTGTGTTTACACAGGTGAGGAGCTATCAATAGCCAACTTATCAACAGGCACAGTAATTTCTGTGGCCACCATTTGCTCAGCTCTAACACCTAAGTGAGATGCTATCAATTTGGTAGAAAATATTTATTACTCAAACATAAAGTACAGTTTATGAATCCTGTCCCTAAAACAAACACCAGTGTATCTGAATGGCATCTGCGAAACGGGATCTAACTATGACCCTGACAGCTATACACCAAGAAACTCAAATTTTAAACTACCACAAAATAAACTCACAATGCTTTCAGGTAATACCAGGGAAAAATAGAAAGCTTTAATTGTTAGTATTTAACTCGCTTCTGGGCTTTAAGCAATGTCTTAACAAGCTGTAACATTTAGATTTTAAATGCTTGAGAATCAGCCATTTGAAATGTGCAGTCACAGAGCCAAGTAGCTGTTGTTTAAACAATGTGATCCTGGCAAGATCTCTAGACAGACTCTGCTTCACTTAACATTTATCAGAGGATGCTTTGGAGCATAGGATTACCAGAATTCCTCTGGAAACAAACCACCCTCACCACTAACTACAGGACATGAGTCAAGTTTCCAGGCTGCAATAAAGCACACAAGCTCTTTCCCAAAGAAATGTACACGAATAATGAATGAATCTGCTAGTAAAATACAGTTCAGAAAAGTTAGGAATAATTTATCCCATAAATATTGGCATTTTGCTAATCAAACATGCTGTGCCCAAAACTTTTTCCATGTAATAAATTTTAATTCACAAGGCCATGGCAGCAATCCTAATGAAGATTAATTACTGCAGTCCCTTCCATAAAGCCCAGTGCAGCTTCTTCCTTACTTGCTGTCAGAATGCTACAGCACATAAAAATGGTAATTAAAATATATTGTGCTGTGTTATTTTCTAGATCTGGACAGGCTGGATGAATGGGCTGAGGCCACCTCTAGGAGGTTCAGCAAGGCCAAGTCCAGGTCCTGCACTGGGGTCACAACAGCCCCAGGCAGTGCTGCAGGCTGGGGGCAGTGGCTGGGAAGCTGCCTGGTGGAAAAGGACCTGGGGGTGCTGGTCAACAGCAGCTGAACACGATCCAGAGTGTGCCCAGGTGGCCAAGAAGGCCGATGGCATCCTGGCCTGGATCAGCCAGGTGTGGCCAGCAGGAGCAGGGCAGTGACCGTCCCCCTGTACCCAGCACTGCTGAGGCCACAGCTCCAATGCTGTGCTCAGTTCTGGGCCCCTCAGTGCAAGAGAGACATTGAGGGGCTGGAGCGTGTCCAGGGAAGGGCAACGGAGCTGGGGAAGGCTCTGGAGCACAAGTGCTGTGAGGAGCAGCTGAGGGAGCTGGGGGTGTTCAGCCTGGAGAAAAGGAGGCTCAGGGGGACCTCATCACTCTCTGCAGCTGCCTGACAGGAGGGTGCAGCCAGGTGGGGTCAGCCTCTTCTGCCAGGTAAAAAGTGACACGGACAAGAGGAAACAGCCTCAAATTGTACCAGAAGAGGTTTAGATTGGATAACAGGAAATATTTCTTCACCAAAAGGATTGCTGTCAAGTCCTGGAACAGGTTGCCCAGGAAGGGGGTGAAGTCACCATTCCTGAAGGTTTTTAGAAGACTTGTATATGTGGCACTGAGGGACATGGTTTAGTGGGACTTGGCAGTGCTGGGTTAACAGTTTGATCTTAAAGGTCTTTTTCACCCTAAATGATTCTATGATTCCCTTACTGGCCATTCCACTCATATAAATCAAAACACCTCTAAAACTGAATATATAAGCCTCTATCAAGAGCAATTCAATATCTCAGTGTCCAATTCTGCAGCTAATCAGAATGACCAAGGCTTTTAAACTGAGACCTTTTATAATGTCTCTCCTATGGTGCTTTTCTGGCCATCACAACGTTAAGTTCTGGCCTTCACAAAGTCACAGACATGACCTGAATAATCCATTTTAGAAGGAGCACCATGATTTGCTGATAAATCATCTCAAAAGACAATGTAACATCAACCTCATCAAGAATAACCCAGAACTTAGCAGGTCAACATCAGCATCCTGCTATAAGAAGAAGCTGTAAGAAACTGCAATTTGCCCATAAATTTCATAAATAAAGGAAGGCACACAGCAAAGTAGCAATGACTACTAACTTGTACAGTTGTCACCTGGTGACTGTCCATAAAGTCACAAACAAAACAGTACCAGAACTAAGATGTTTCCCCTCATATCCAAGATCTTCTCCATGCTGATCTAGGAGTTAATGTGATCAGCTGCACCCATTAAAGATTTAAAGAAGATGATGAGGTCAATCGGAACTTTGCTCTTCCTCAATACTTTTATTTAAACAAGCTGAAGAATTAAAAATACCAAAACCACAATCTAACTGCAAAATGAATATTTAAGAAATCCAGCTGCTTTTCTTTCGCCCTGTTCTATATTCTTAGATTTTTCACCTCATTAACAATTTACATTTGATAGCCTTAAACCAAATATGATGAATGTTCCTAGATATACAAAAATTAATCTCATATTACATGCTTGAAGTCATTAATTACTCTGCTTATAGAGGTATGGCTGGAAGGCAATTTTTATGCAAAGGCAAATTTAACTCATGATTTGTACAGCTCCCCCAGTTTAAAAAAATTCTGTGGGAGGACAGAGAGAAGATTTTGACTTCTGAAACCATGGACAGATAGTCTCTTTTTAAAGACTCTTGAAGGAAGACACCCTAGGTCTCATACTTACTATGAATTATCCCTTTTAGAAGCTTTTTCCCCCCCTTAAAGCAAGGAGCAGCTAGTGTAGCCCAACATATTTCTATTTAAATCCAACTCTTTAAGCAAAATCTCTGGATTTTGGAAATATAAAACAGCACAGTATTGTGTTTTCTCATCTCAAAGCCCAATTGGACTGTCTGCTACTCTCAGCTGATTTGTTTTTGTTAAAAAAACATTAGGTCAGTATTTCCCAGCCCCAAAAGCAACTCATCATACAATTCAATAGCAATTCTAAGAGAGCTACCTGCATGAGGCATGACTGTTGATTTAACACCCTCAAATTCATTTCCTTCACTGTATCTTGCTCTTTCTCAAAAGTCTTCTACAGGGTGCTCAGAGCACCACACCATGTGGATATGTCTATCCACACTGAGCATGAAAGCTGACTTTGGAGCAGCTCTCAAACAGCTTTTCTATTTCTATGGGTGCCTCAGTGGGGTGTGTTGGAAGGCAGCACCATTGATGACTCTGGTGACAGTGCAGCATGTGATGGATAATCCTGTGCTGGCCATGGCCTGCCCAGGGAGTATCAGTCATGTTGTTACAGGCAAAATGGATTTGGGCATGGTGCAGGCACAAGTACTGGCATGAGATTGTCCACAACTGCTGCAGCTTCACATGGTGCCAACTAAAGCTCTTCTGGGCAATGTCTCAGTATTTTGGTGCAGTAAGACAGGCCAAGGACTGTTTCCAGTAAGCAGTGTTGATGAAACTACATTTCTTCAATGTGTGTAGTGGTCTGTTCTCCAGCTCCAAAGGCAGCTTTGATGCTCAGTGTAGGTATGTCTAGAGATATACTAAAGGAAACCTCCCTGGTTTCCTTCAGTGTATGTTCTTTCTTTCCTAATCTACTCCACAGGAAGGGAAGATTATCAAGGACCTTGACTTTCTTTGAGTCCTTGCTCTCCTTAAGAGCGCATGACCTGACTCTAGGGGGGCCAGATCAGCCACTGATCCAACAAAAGTCTGCACTTACTACCACTGCCAAAAATCTGTCCATCTCTGTCAACTTTTATTCTTAAAGTGCAGCTAATCTTGAGTCTAGCTGACATTCTGAGGAAAGGATCAATACAAAAGGTGATGTATGAATACATACTCCCCTCACACAAAGAAGAAGAGATTTACTGCTGCTCAGAAAAAGCAATGCTTTTCCCCATCCTTGTCAGTTCTGCTGGCATTCAGTGGTGAACAGGCTCCAAGGGACATGGCCAACAGCCTGTTAACTGAGGACTATCTACTCCTTAAATCCATGTCCCACACCCCGTCCTGCATACTGACTCCACAACACACAGTGACACACATGTAAGGACAATCTAGCCCCAGGATACACCCGACTCATATGTGAAAAGCAAGAGCTTTATGAACTTAGACATCTATGCTCCCATTTAGGTGTCAAGATCATCCTTCTCAATCATGATACGCTATTTGTCAGAAAAACACAAGTGGCCTTCTTGTTGCAGTGAACCACACAGGATTTCATGTTGTATCCCTTCATCTTCCCACAGTATGTTGGTATCAAGTACAGATCCTCATTCCCACCCTGTGCTTTTTTTTGCTACATGAAACAAATTCTTCTGCTTCATGCAATTATAAACACTGAATTGAATTAATTTAATTTATTATTATACATTTACTTCCACTCAAGAGTCCAGTTCACTTGACTCATGAAGAGTCTGAACAATACTGAATCATAGAACTTATCAAGTTTTACCCTGCACAAATTTATTTAATACAGCACAGGTGCAAAGGGATCATGAAATCCTTAAACTACTTCAACATTTTTCCTTCCACCCAGAAAGAACCTGCAATGTGACAGAAGAGAAATGCATTTCTGAAACAGGACAGATGCACCACTGGCCCAGGCTGAGCCCATCAGTGATAGTGGGAGTGCCTCTGGGATAGCATAGTTAAGGAAAATAAACAGTGCAAAAGCAGCCAGGGAGAGCAGTGAGAACACGTGAGACGGACAGCCCTGCAGACCCCCAGGTCAGTGCAGAAGGAGGGGCAGGAGGTGCTCCAGGTGCCAGAGCTGAGATTGCCCCACAGCCCATGGTACAGCCCATGGCACAGCCCATGGTGAGGCAGCTGTGCCCCTGCAGCCCCACAAGGCTGTGATCCCTTGGGAAGCCCACACTGGAGCAGGCTCCTGGCAGGACCTGTGGCCCGGTGGAGAGAGGAGCCCATGCTGTAGCACGTTCACATTTGCTGGCAGGACTTGAGTCCACACTGGAGGAACCTGTTCCTGAAGGACTGTATGCATGGAAGGGATCCACACTGGAATAGCTCACAAAGAATTGCAGCCTACAGGAAAGAGTTGAAGAAGATTGTGGAAGAAGTCCCCTGTGGGAGAGACCCCACATGGGAGCAGGGAAAGGATCCTCTCCTGAGGAGAAAGGAGTGGCAGAAACAACATGTGATGAACTGACTGCAACCTCCATTCCCCATCCTTCTACGCTGCTGAGGATGAGGATGTAGAAGAAATTGTAAGTTAATCCTGGGAAGAAGAGAGATGTGGAGAAAAGGTGTTTTAAGATTTGGGTTTATTTCTCATTACCCTACTGTCATGTGATTGGCAATAAATTAATTAATTTTTTCACAAGTCAAGTCTGCTTCACCCATGACAGTAGCTGGTGAGGAATCTCTCCTGGTGTTATCTCAACCCCTGAGCTGTAAACTACATTTTTTGTTCCCTGTCCAGCTGAGGAGGCCAGTGACAGAGTGGCTTTGGTGGGCACTGGGCATCCAGAGAGGGTAAACCCACCATAGAAACACATGAAACTTCCAGGGTATTAGTCAAGATTTTTGCGTGTGAAACAGCCTCACCAAGATCCCTTCAATATGGACTCAAAAATCATTCTTATACAACTTCACAAAAGAAAATAATAGCCTTTAGCTCAGCTCTGTTCAGCACCTAACATAAATTTTTGTAAGTCAAATACTAAATCCCATGAGAAAGAGGACTGTAAGATGAATTCCTAACATGTAAACAAAACAGTTCATAAAAACCATCATTTTAAAATAAACATGGAAGATGGTGCATACCTATAGCTGTCTTCACTTTCTGAATCCTGCTCTGCATCAGAGTCTTTGAATTTATCAGGATCTGGGAGAGTGCTTGGATCAAACTCTTCTTCACTTCCACTGTGATCAAGAAAGGCCACCGTTTCCTCTTCAGCCTGTGAGGTGACAAATGGAGAATTACTAGACAAGCAAACAAGTCCATGTTACTTGTCATAACCCCATGAACAGGGAGGCTGTAACAAAAACCACCGCCCCCAAATGCAGTCAAACACCACCAGGATCATAGCCAGGAAAAGAGAATCACTTCTGTCACCATCAGTACTCTCCTCCAAGGCTGTTTGTTAAAGGTTGAAGAAACATTATTAAAAAAGGAAGCACAAGGATTTATGTTCAAATTCTACTTTCCAATATTGTAATCTTAAATCTACGAAATCTAGGAGAGATCTGGGCAGCAACTAATCAACAGCCATCTGAGAGCAAGTGTCTAAGTAATATGCAGCTTTACTGTCCCTCAGAAACACACTGGCAAAGAGACACTCACAGGTGGACACATAAATCACTGCTGTTAGGTGGATTTAATGAAATAGTCTGATTTAAAACTCATCTGAGTGTCCTTGCAGCTAAAAACCAAAAAGCTGCTTAAGCTGAATTAACTGCTCTAAGGGAGTTTCAGCCATCCTCTGCAAGAGATACATGTTCTTCAGGCATCTTCCCAGATCCCCTCATCCCTCCTCTCCAGGACTCAGCTTCCCTCTGTCCCCACAGCACATCTCAGATGGGCTGATGCCATTGGCAAGTTTCCCCAGGGTGTGGCAGTGCCCCACTAATTCCTTAACAAAGAGAGCACAGAAGATGCTGCTCCACAGAAGTCCTGGATAATATAAAAAAGCTGGTTAATTTTGCAGATACAGGTTCTGCTCCACTTAATCCTGAACTGATGGTACCACTCTTGTAAATTTTTGCTAGTAGGCACAAAGAACCAGATACACTGGAGGGCACATGCAATTGTATATGCACACAGAAATGCAGACAGCAAGCTTACAGGCATTTCTAAGCAACGTGAACCCTAGATCCATGCATATTTATGCTGGAAAGCAAAAACGAATTCCAAGAAATTATAATTAAAGACATTGCTACCTTTTGTTTATATATCTAATCAACATGCACACAGCTGAGTTTCTAAAACAGTACTCATTTAAATGATCTTTCATTCTATGAATAACTTCACATCATTATATCTTTAAAGTTAATTTTTGTTTTGCTTTTTCACCATTTCTATCATCAAGTTTTTAAAGAACAGTCTTTATGTGGATGTACCTTCCTGCAAGAAAAATAAATTTAAAAGTCAAACAGAAACCATACCAATGGTCTCTTCTGTATGTGCATATACAGTGAGTGACAGGCAATAAGCTGGTGAGGGGTAAGATTAGCCACCACTGCAAGAGTCCATTCTTGCTTGACTAGTGATACTTCTGCAGTGTACTGAAAGCAAGTAGAAGAAAGGGACAAAAGCCAGATTTGCAATCTGGCAGAGGAAGGCAGAAGAAAAACATAGTGAACACACACTTTGTTCTTCACTACTTTAAATACCAGTAAAAGTATATATATAGCTGGGTGTATAAAATGATTAAAAGCATTGTCAGACTCCAGCACTGTAAGCTTCCTAAGGTAACAACCACCAACAGCAAAGCATGTTGATTCTTGGGAACTTCAGGTACCACTTCACAAGAAAGTTTGTTTTGGTTTTGCAGGGTTTTTGCTTACAAAAAAATGTCTTCAAGCTCATTTCTTTGTACAATCTTACAGAGCATTACTAACTCCACAGAAAACTATTTTGAAGGTCACCTTTTTGCTAATGAATCTTCTCATTTGAAAATCGTTCTGCATTAAATTATAGCTTATTTTAATTTCTTACAACATTAAATATTTGCTCTTTACTTGTTCTTCCAATTGCACCTATTCTTTTGATATAGCTGGTGCATACCAATCTTATATTGAAAAGAGAAAGAGAAGCAGCATTCAAAGCTCTTGTATGAAATAATGCATTTTTAATATGTATGCATGACACCATGCAACAGAGTTCTGCACTACTAACATTTATTGGCAGTCATCTTTTAAAACTTGGGGCTGTTCATTAATATTCTCCATTATGACACACAGACCAAACCCTTGCTTTAATTATACATTCATATTAATTTTGTCCAGCAGAAAAGATGCAGAGAAGTGTTAAACTTCCACTCATCAGGAATCATGAGGCTGTATTTCTTGTAAGTATCACTGCTTACATATTCATTAAAATATTTCTAAGACCCTGAAAATGTTAAGAACCTGAGCAGGAACATTTATCATCCACAGCTGAACAACAGAAACTCATTATTTTTCCTCTCTCACTTCAAATTTATATCAGCCAGTCAAAAAGAAGAAATCTTGTGACTTCACATTACTCACCACAAGAGCTGGAGAAAAGAAGTAAAATCATAGTTCAAAATGACACGTGTAAAAGTTCTTCAGACACAACTAGGATGCAATTTACAGACTCGGGACTAGACTTGTCTGCAGGCAATTGCCATCAAAGAGTTTAGAAGAAGAGATTTTGATGGCCTGTACTTCATGTCTAAGGCTGGCTGCAATGTAACACCCACTCTGGAGTGTGTACTTATTGTGAAGCTCAACTGTGGAAGGAAACTTGCCATGCTTGACATCAAAGACATCAAATCAGGCTGGCCAGAACTGAATGTGGGACTCTGCTCAGGGATGACAAGCTGTCTTTGTACCACACCAGGCCATATATTCTGTAATTCTAGTTCTACAGAAACCTGCACAAAGATTTTCAGTTTGAACATGACACTGAGATGCAATCAGGTTTGCATTCACACAGTCTCCCTCTGAAGAAGAGATTCTTCTTATGCAAACTCAACATTTCAGAAAAACGCAGCAAAATTTCTGTGCTGGAAGTTTTGGAAACCTTGTTGCCGTCAACATTACACATTGTACCAAGCCAATCACATTTGACCTTACTGCAGTCATTTTGAAAACATACACCCTGTGACACAGATAAGACAGGCTCCTCTAGAGCTTTTGCCATGTTTATCAACAAAATACCTCCAATTCATCTTTTGTCTTTCTTACAAGATGTAATGACAACTTTCCCTCCTCCTAAGGGGGCCTGAATGGCTGATGGAGCTCAGATAAATGAGTTAGACAGGCTAAGAGAAACTTAAAATTAAGAAACTGATGCACCTCAGACACCCAAGGGACTTGAATGTTCAAAAAAACCAGAATGATGTCTCATTTCTATCAGGCAATAGGCACTCAGGTGGAAATTATCTGACTATCATCAGAAGGAAAAAAAAAAAGAGAGAGAACTGAAAAACACATCATGAAGACCTGTAGATAGAAAAATACTGTATTTAGATTTAATTTCTAAAATACATATTTATTATCGTATTAAATTTATATCTAATTTAAGAAGGTTTTTTTTCTACTTTAAGAAGTTTTTTTTCCTTCCAATTAAATTGTCTAGAGTTGCACTTTTGATGTTCAACACTTTAGGCCATTTATCAGTTTCTAACAACCAGGTTGAGAGGGGAGAAATAATTGCTTAAGCACTATCAGTTCTGTAGATAGTACTTTACAAAGCACAGTGGGAGAATATTTCCAATTAGCTGGAAACAAAACTCTTAAGGTTTGTTTAGAATTTGATTACACTTGAGTCCATCACACTTAATACTCTGTCCTTTTTGAGCTATGCCACCCTTTAGTTTTTGCTACTATGCCTCTCCCAATAAGTGATGCCTGTGATTGTAATGCCAAGAAAAGCTAAGTTCTAAACACTGCTAGGAGGTTACCCAACACAGGTACACAATTTTCAGAAGTTTAGTTCATATAACAGGATATCTAAAAATAAAGTATCTTGTAAGGTCTGACAGCCTTCCAAATTTTCTCAATTTTCTTCTTTTTGACAATTATTTTTTAGATGAAAACATAAGTTGCTTTTGCATCATGTTTATGATGGAACCCATTAATACATACAGAGAGGTTTTATAACATTTCCTTTAAAATGTGTTACTGTGGATTCACCTGATCACCTCACAGGTTTGGGGTCTTTTCATAGCCTGTACCCTAACCCAACACACTGTCCCCAGCTGATGAATGATTGCTCTAATACTTCATTATCTACATTGCCCCAGAGGAATACAGCTTTTCTGGCAGTTCAGAAATGAAATACAGCCTTTGATGTTGCTAGGGTGTTTGATCCAACAGTTGTTTTGAAGATCAAGACAAAAACCTTAGCATAAACTGAAAACTGACTGGGAGCCAGTGGAGCAAACTACACACAGTCTGACAAACACAGAGTTGTCCAAGCTGTGCCAAAACTCCCATCTCCCCTCTTTACCATCTAAGGTGCATCCATGTTCCATGGCTCTGGCCAGATAGGCTGGTAGCCAAAAACTGGGGAAATCACGGTTCCAGGTCAGTCAGTCAGCCAGACACAATCCTTGCACTAAGATGATTTCACTGATCTTTGGGCTCTGGAATGAGTCGGTCATAGCTCCTGTTTTTTACAACTTCAGAGAATTTGATTCTTGGTTTTCACTAGAACGGACAGATAATTCTTAGCCTCATCTTCAATCATTCACCATTCCTGATGGCTAGCAGTCACATCAAGGTCCAATTTCACGCAGTCATTTTTTATTTCTTTTAAGCCATTGGGAGATCTCAAACAACACAGTATACCTCTTTAGCCAGCAGAATCTTACTTTTACCAGTGTTCTCACATAACACACATGAGAATACTTAATTTTCTTTCTTGGCTTTCCTAAATGCCTCACATTTTATGGTCAGTGAATGGGCAAGCCTGTGTTCCAAACTAGCAGACATTGATGCACATATTCTGACATTCAAATTCCTGTGTAACTACAGCAAAGCAATTTGTGCTGGAAATGGCTCCTGCCAAAAGCACAGTTCAGAAGCACTGAAAACACAAAACTCATAGAGATTGGTGAGATGTTCTAAATCTACTCAGAGACCTTTTGTTTTAATGTATTTGGATTTCAATTATAATGTGGATATGTCTCAGAACTAGACCTTACACTTCTCCTTTTCTAATTTGTTCTTCTACGACACATGTAGAATACTTATTGTAAAGACAAGC